AAAATGGCTTCAACGCACAGGCCCCCAAGTGTTTGCAAAGCTCGGTTTCGAAGTTTTCATATTGTGTGCAGATGTGTGTGTGCATCCTTAGATTCCAGAGCGTTCTGGCTTCTGTCTTTGTCGATTCTAATTGCTGCGCTTTGTTTTGTCTTCTGTCTTCTATGTTCGCTAGCTGTGTGTTTGTCTTTTGTGTCAGCTGTGTTTTCTAGGTAGTGACTGAATCGTGCCTTCGCTACATATCGGCTCTAACCTAGAACACACAGCTACATACAGGGCAAGGCATTGCCTTTCTTTTTTCACCCACCCTCCACTCCCTGGGGGAAATGCTTTCCGGCATCGCTTTGCCCAGACACAAGTCTCTGCCTACATACGCAACGCACTTCAATGCACCATCTGCGGAAAAAGGGCGTTTCTGCAACACGTAGAGAACTACGAAAGGAAATTGAATTCGGTGCCCGAAAACAATGTGTGTCTTTTGCGTTCATCTTCGGACTTTTTGGAGTAACGGTTGGAAGTTTAGGAACAGCCTGAACAGCTTGCCAATTTCGAAAGACTGAGATGTGGATCGGCTTAAGGTGGCAAAACCGCCCAAATGCAGGGCCGGTTTTCGGGGGTTGAAAACAGCTCGAAAACGTTGCCGCGGACAAGGGGCCTCCACAGTATCAGCCGTTGCTCAAGAGCAAGAAGCTTGTCCATTTTGTTCCATTTAGAGCTTCAGACGTTTTGGATACACGTGCTTATCTCGGTAAGCATTCTTGTGGATCATGACGCCGCTTCCACCTCGAGGTGTGCGACCTGCAGAAGCTTGTACTTGCGGCGGCAGATCCATTACGGCTAATCTGCGTGTTAGAGGTCAACCCCCAAAAATGTCAACCTAGATGTTTATCCAGATGTCAACCTGGAAGTCAACCCAAGTGTTTGAAATGACGGTCCAAAGCACGTAACTGCCTGGCGACGAAGGTTTGATGCTCACCGCTTGAACGTGGTGGTTGTAAGATGTTTGGCAGATTGAGGTCATCTCTGCATGCAGCCGTCCAGAAAGACTAGTCTTTGTTCTTGGGCTTCATCACGTTTAACAGACCGGTTTCACGCCAAAAGGTAATTCGAAACTTTGGCAAGAGTTGTGGAGTGGAGCCAAAACGAAGAAAAAGAGAATTAAAAGAACAAGTCTTGGGGCTTCAAGCTGCGTAAAATAATTCCTGCTCAAGCCAGATTCAACCCAAGGTTCAATTAGACTTGAATCTAGAACCGAGATTCAATCCAGATTTAATCCAGGCAAATCCAAGGTCCAACCCACGTTCAGCTTGCTTCAACCCAGACTTGAAACTAGATTCAACCCAGACTTTTTAAGAACCTGGGTAACTTGTTACACTCGAAACTCAACTCCGCCAAAAAGTTTGAATCTGGTTCAATCTAAGTTTAATTAATATTGGCTTTGTGAAAAAGAACTCGAATAGAGACTTTTCTAAAATCTTGCCAAGACCACTTTCTTTCGGCCGCAGGAGTGCCATATCAACTTCTGGATGGTTCCGTCACAAAGTGACCGTCTCGACCCTTCGCTGCACTTAAAGCTCTCGATACTTCGTTTTTAAACTTCGCAGGCCCTTCTGCGTGGGGTGTGGAGGGCCTGATCTGTTCTGTGTGCTCTTGAATCCAAGACTCTTTTGCGACCCCATTGCACAATGAAGGTGAGTAAGCGTGCGCAGCATCTTTTCTTATTACAAAAATTCATTGAGCCAAATATTTGTTTTGATATTAGATTTCTGAATGCTTATATTAATCAAGAAGACAAAAAAAGTAAGTTTTACACCGGATTGCAATGGGTTCAACATTCGGCAAAACTTGTGTAGATTGCAGATTTGGGAAGCAAATCTTGACAATCCGATGTATGTCTTGGCAAGTGGAAATGTAACATTACGAAACGGGTACGTATGTAAGGTCCGTTTTATTTGAGACGACGGTGTGCCGTTTGGCAGCCGATAGTTTCCATTCCACGAGGCGCGAACGGTCGTTAGAAAGGGCACAAGAACCTAGTGTCCTTTTATTTGTTTCTTCCCCGCGTCGTTCTTTGGGTTCGGTTTGTTTATGATGCCAAGATTTTGTGTTATTGGCTTGTGGTAGGATGTGGAAGGCCATCCATATGATTGTTGACTGTGTGATGGAGCTGACTAGTTTGTTGGCATCGTTTTTGAAGTGTGGGTTTGGGAGTCATATTATGTAATGTCGGCTCGGCCAGGAAGCGTGGACGTCGCAGTGGTGAGGTTTAAGATTTATCAACAAGCCAGCGCCGGGATTTGCCATAGTGTGAATAAAGTTCAGGCTTCGCTTATCATTCAGTTCAAAAGCTGCAAAATGCGATGATTGATAAGCGACGGCAATCCCGTATTTTGTGGTTCAGCTGGTCCACCTCACCAATGTATGCGAAGCCATGGTCACCACCACGGTATGGGTCAGCGTTGAATGACGCTGGTGTCACTCAAGGCTGCTGTTGGGTTTGTGGGCGTCAGCTGCTGTTTTGGGCATGTCGGAACGGTGGGACCAAACTGTGAGCTGGAGCGAAAGCGAGCGGCAGATTGGCTCACAGTAAGTCTTTTCTGTGCAGCATTTGTATCTCACGAACTCGTTCCATGTTGATTTTGAGCTTCGCAAGGTTTTGGCTTCGTTGCACACGGTGCTCAACACATTCCTTTCGCATTGGATCTGCCGGTTGAACTCTGGGGTATACTGCAAAACAGGACGAGACGGCAGACCATATGCGGAAGGGCGACCATATTTTGCTGGATCTGACGGTGAGTGGGCGGTATCCGGCCATTCCGGGGAAAGTTTGGAGCAAACCAATTTCTTGTTCGAGGTGTCCATTTCAATTTCGCCACGGCAAATCTGCGAGGTTGGCTTCAATGCTGGTCATTCCGCATTGACTCTGCTCGTTGGAGCTGGTAGCAATTCCTCTTATCTCGGTTTTGATTGGTCCATCTTGAACCCTGGTTTGAACGAGGAGCTTTTCAGGATGATCCGTGATTGGCTACCTTCAAACAACATGACTATTGTTTGGGGAGATGCAGACCCCAGCATTCGAGCATTCCTGCTCCAAGGAGGCGGAGGGATCTGTGAGTTAATTGTTTTTGACGGCCCACATGATGTTCTCCAAGTTCTCAAATTCATGCCTTTATTGAGGGTCATGGCTAAGCGGTCTCGGCCGTTTCTTTTTCTGGACGATGTGGGTTGCGTGGCAGCCATGTGCCATCATTCCACACTGGCATGGCGATTCCTAGTTTGGCTTGGGATGGTCAGTCCAATCAGCTGTCGAGTTGCTGTGGGGCATGCTGCTGGAGAAATGGGTGCTTGCCTGGGGCGTTTTCAGTGGGGGCAGGTGGTGAGATGCCATACCTTCGACGCGCGGTGTGTGGCGCGCACACTCGGCATGGTGGAGCCACTGCAGCGGGAGCATTGGACTAGGTGCTGCCTGGAACCGTCCGCCCAGGTAAACCCAGATGCTTACTTGGTTCACATTCAGATCTGACTTCTTTACTTGAGAGCAAAGCAAAAAAGCTTACTCGACAGATTCGTGATATGAAGTGATAGCTGATAACACTTATCATACCAGTCGTGCCAGCAGAGCATGCGCTCGCTCAGCTTAGATGGTTTCTTGTGTAATTCTTACCCGCCGGTTCAAGGCCAGCCTGAGTTTTCGATTCAATTGCGACGCTTCGAGTGTGAAACAGGTTGCAAGCTTTCCGTCATCCAAGTCTCGAGCATCCTTTGCAGAAAAATCATCATGCCATGGAGACATGGCTCAAATCGAAGGCAGATCAGTTGGCACAGGCCGAGTTGGATTAGGGCAATCATAGTTTCTAAGAACAGACATGTCGGCATGGCTTGTGGGGCAACCGCCAGGCGGCCCAAGATCACGTGTCGGCTGTGCAGCAATCTGCTTCAAAGCTGGCGGTTGCATTTGGCTTAGTCTTCTTTGCATGGCAGTGGCTCCACAGCCCTGTGATGACATGTTGGCCGCCCAGGCCTTTGATCCAGTGGGAGCATTACCGGACGACTTAAAGGCAGGGTGGCAGTGGAGGTGGATTGGTGAATGCAAGGAAGCTTTTCATTGCAGGATGTGGAGTTTCGAGACGGACCGCTCGGCTTTACCTTGGAGGGCAACCTCGTGGTTTCTGTTCAGCCGAGCTCGCAGGTCCGGCAGTCTGGGACTCTTCACGCTTCGCAGACCTCGCAGCGCTTTGCGGCGCTTTGCAGGCTGAACGGCTCGGGGTGGAGATTGGTGATCGCCTGGTCAAAATTGACGGCTACGAGGCGAGGCCTGCAAGAATCTAAACTTGCGTGCATTCCCGCCTACCCTTAAGAGGTCCCGAGATACGAGACGGATTTCGAGGAACAGCGCGCCCGGAAAGTCATCGCAAAGTGGCTCAAGGACCTGCAAAGGATCGAGCCTTTAACGCCTTTGGGTTTGTCAGTCTGAGGAGATGCCTCGACCAGCTATCCTCACCTTCGAACTGCAGCAAGATCTCGGCGAGGACAACATCGATGCTCATTCGGCTTAACTGCTTGTCGAAAGTTATCGTCAGGAAGTGGCCAAAGAGACGCCGCAGCCTCGCTCCGAAGAGGCCAGTTGTGCAAGTCTTCGGATTTGGCCGCAACTCATCTTGTAAGCCGTGACGTTCGTGGGAGGCGCCCAAAGCTGGCGCCGTGCAGGTTCTTCAGGTGTGGCGGCTGCCTGCCTTAAACTTCCTGGTGACAGAGCATCGCAGGCAGAGCTGCAGCGCACACAGGAGGAGCGGAAAAAGCTGGCAGCCGAGCTCAAGGACAACAACAGTTCGCTTAGTGCTCCTGAACGCTAGGTCAACAGAGCAGAGGTAGCAGAGTGTTTGGAAATAATTCATTGTGACGCGTACAGTGCAGGACAGCCAGGAGGCCTGTGGCCAATTGTCAGCTCAAGTGGAGTCCCTGAAGAAAGAGTCTGTGCCGAATCTTCGCCGACTGTCTGAGATGGAGGCCGACGTGCAGCCGATGCTGAGTAGTTCATAAACCGACTTGCCACTCCAAGCACAGAGGAGCAACTGCAGACGCTGCGCACCCAGAACAAGGATGTGCCGAGCTTTGCGCAGTGAGAAGCAACACGGTGCAAAAGAGTTTTGTCAAAGGAGTTGGTCAGCGCTGTCAATGCTAGCTCGACAAGCCGGGCTGACGAGGAATTGCTGAAGCTCCGCCAGGTGAGCGGTGCGCGAATGAGGTGGGAAGTCCGCAATCTCCCTTCGCTTCAGGCACTTGCAGCCACACAGGAAGCCAGCCAAGCTGCTGTACAGGTGCGCCGTGAAGCATCTATCTAGAGTAGAGTCAGTAGAGAGCCTAGCAACGACTACTTCAAATTCGCCAGGCAGCACAAGCCAAAACCGCAGCGGCAGAGGATAAGTACTCGGAGCAAAAGCAGGCTGGTGTGCACCGTGTCGTAGGTAAGCCTTGTTTGGTTAAGGATAAACATCCCTGTCCGCAGCTCCAGGGCCCCAGTACAAACGGCCTGACCGCGCACATCCAGCGCACAATGCCGCTTTGGTTTTGGCATAAGACCCCACGCACTTGCAAAGGCGACCTCTGTTATGGGCACTCTGTTCAAACCTGAAGACCACGGAGATGCAGTTCTGGGGGTTCTTTGTTTTTGACGTGTACTGGTGTCGACATCTGGCTTTGCCATGGGGGCCGGAACTTTGGATGCCATATGATGAACCATGACCATGGCCGGGCTGTTTTCGGGTCCGCATGCACCTGAACCCTGAATATCCCTGAATAAACAATGACAAAAAGTCCATGAAGTGCGGCTAAAGCCTTTGCTCTAGATGTCCTTCCAAAACTATCGTACTTTGCGATGACCAGGCACTGTGATGCAACGGCCAAAGCAACACCTGGATGTAAGAGTCAGTTTCATTCCCACCTTTACTGGAACGAGCCTGGTAAAAGCATGCTCCATGTCTGTGCAGGAGGTGCAAGCTCTGCTTCTGCAAGTTGCAGATCTCACGGAGCCTTGTGTGAAGCCATGGGCACTAGTCTTGAGATGTGGCACGACATCGCATATCGGCAGGAACAGGCGGAAAACCGCAGGCTGCAGATTGAGCCCATGGAGAAGGAGTCTGCGCCCTCTGCGCTAGCGTTGTGGAAGGGTCGCGGAAGCTGTCACGTCCCAGGAGCTCCAAGGCCAGGCTCGGAGCGGTCTTGCGACAGCAGTCAGCAGTCTCTCCCTGCATCGTGCTTTCAGATGCGTGCAGATGCTTTCAGGCTTTCAGGCTGCCCATGAGGCCGAGCTGGATCTCTTTAGGGAGGATCCCCGGTCGTGCGTGCGAAGCGCTTGGCGGAGCCAATCCACGCTACGAGGAGCAAGCCATGCGGAAAGAGCAGCACCAACAGGAGATTGAGGACTTTCACGGATTCTGGCATGCGAACTCGCAGGGTGCCATTCTCATGCGAAGCGCTTGTTGGCCGAGCAGCAAGAGGAGCTGCAACGTCGTCTGGGAGATCAGCAGATCAAGGCAACTTGCAGAGGATCTCAAAATGTAGGTAGAGGCTGTATCAATACGAATAGGCTGATCGAGAGCTTCAAGATGCGCAACTACAGCTGCAGAAGTGTGACTCCAAGCTGTCCAAGCTCCTAGCTTCGAGCAACTCAGAGGAATTCTCACATGAGAGGTCCAAAGAGGCTCTGCAGGAAGCCCAGGCAGCGGGCTGAGGACTCGGCATTTTGTTGTTTGCAGCCGCCATCGCATCGCAGGTAAATGCCGAAGCCGCGGCTGTGGAAGCGACTGCTGCAAGGCAGGGGCGCGACGCCGCTGCCGCTGCAGACGATCGTTACGTCGGATGCAGCCATTACCCATTACACTTGACTTGGACCTCGTCTCCATGCTCGAGCCCTGGGCCACTGGGCTACAGGTAGCGTCGCTGAGGGGGATTGCCAGCTCGAAGGGATGCACAGCTGCAAGAGCGCTGGAACAATGCAAGACCCTGCAAGTTAGACGTTAGACTTCTCACTCGCTGGCCGAGCTCAAAACATCACAAGGGGATTCTCCAACAGCTTGCGGCTTGCGGAACAGCTCTGCTCCCGGTCCCGTTTGCAAATCCCGGTTTTCCATGAGAACCAAAAGTTGGAGGCCTGGAATTGTGGAGGGGACAGCTAACCCATGAATACTTCTCGATCGTGCTAGGGAGTGGCTCGCGCTTCAGTGCGTCAGGCCTGGCAAAGGTGAACTGTACTGGCGCCGCAGAATCCCAACTGGGATACGTAATGATATGTAGCAGCACCGTCTTCCGCGTCCAGGTCTTGGCCTGCTCTCCACTGCGTGTGCGCACGTTTCTGCGATACTGACGCGGCAACACCTGGAGGGACAGGAAAGGCGTCGGCTCGCAAGCGCGTAATGCCCGCAGGGACCCATCCTCGCCGTTTCTTGGATGCCGCATGTCTTGTATTCTCAGTTGGAAGGCTTGTCGGCGGTAAAGCATTTGCATGATCTTTGGAGAAGGCAGATGACGAGTTTGTGGTTTCGCACGTTGGTTTTTCTGCTAGCTCATGACGACTCATGGTGCGTTTGAGATGTATATGAAGTGTTGCTGCAACACAATGTCATGTTTTCAATGTGCGCTCTGGGCTCTGGACGGTGCTTGGTTTCTTATCGGTCCGCGACAGCCTAGAGTTTGAAGTGCATATCTCAGCTGGATGCAGGCGTGAAGTTGAAGCCCTTCGCTCCAACCAGTGCGGGGCCTCTCAAACGCTTCGCAGCATTGCCTGTACTCTGGATGCGAGCGGCATGTGCCTTTGACCTTCCACGGCTATCGTGTTTCTGCCTTTCAGCCAGGCCTGGAGCCTGAAGCTCTGCTTGCCGAGCGCGATGGCGAAGAAGCCGGGTTCTTGCTTACAATATATATTTTTTCCTTCTGTCTTTCGACGGCCTTTGCTGCAGGATCGTGCAGATCCTTCTCCCGTGGGCGATAGCCTTCAGGCTCTTCGCCGCAGCAGTCTGACCCGAGTTTCCATTGGCTCCAGAGTCAAGTCAGGTACTGGAGCTGCGCAAGAGGATCAATCTCTTGGAGACCAGGCATCGGAGTTGGCGTACGTGAACTGTGGGAGTTGTAGCAGTTTCTGCTGTGACTGTGAAGGTGTGCTACTTTGCAGAGGCGCTTGAGTGAATCTCCCGTGCTTGTTTCGGAGCCCCCCTGGACTAAAATGTGGAAGGCGGCTGCGCTCTCAGGATGCCGTGACCGGCACGAGACCGAGCTGGGAGCTTCGGCTGGCCGCTCTGGCAGGCCGGGCCATGGTCCACGCTTTCCATGGCCATGGCTGGAGTGAGCTCGTGCTAGAAGGGGTCTGACGAAAGGTCCCCACGTTGCCGCTGTCGCTGTGGCACTGCACCGCTGGTCTCTGAGCGGACTTCGTGGCTTCACGGACCTCCATGGCACAGCGGCTCAGCATCTCCGAATTCTGCCAAATTCGCATCTCTGCTGGAGGAGCGCTTGCTCAAGAGCGAGGCCTGGCTTTGGGTCTTTTATGTGCCTGGGCTTCACTTAATTGGACCTCTCCAGTACTCCAGTCCTTTTGGCAGGATGTGTGAGCAGCTCTGGCTAAGGCTCACCTGCTGGTTCTGTATACCATCTCAGCTTCGTGCTCTGTACAAACCACAGCAGATGCTGGAAGCCGGGACCCCATCGAGTCCGAAGTTCAGTTGGCCGTTGTGGCACAACTCAGGAGGTGCTGTCGATACCTTGAATGCCCAGCTGGCTGCCATGGCCGGAAGCAGTCACGGGCCTGGATCTTTTTTGTGCTCTCCCTGGGAGACTCGTCATGGTCTCAAGGCACTCCAGCCGCAACCCATTTGCGGGGAAGCTGACGAAAAAAGAGCTGAGGCAGCAACCGCCTAACCATCGCCCCGGCAGGAAGGATTCACACGGAGCCCGCTTTCGCTTCGACGCGATCCAGCAGTGTTTGCAGTCGGGCCTTTTGACCTGCATATCACCCGCAGCTTGGTTGGCTCGAGTTCACACCAAGATGACAGATTTTGTGCCGTCCCTGGTTGGCGCCTTGGCTTCGAGGCACTCGAAAAGCTCTGCGCTTGAAGTTGGGAGGCCTTGGGGCCGATGCCGGCGTGCTCTGCACGCATTCGGCAAAGGGGCTTTGTGCGAGCCTTACATGGCAGCCTTGCGATGGTGCTCGCGTTGTGCTGAGGTTCTGAGCCTCTGTTCCTGCTTCCAGAACCAAAAATCACAGCTGCAGGTGATGCGCAAGTTGCATGTCAGAGTGTTGGCAGCCTCAAGCCTTTTAAGTGCTGATCTTACGACGTGATGCAGGACTCGACTCGCGAATGCTTGTCCTTGCTGCACAGATCTTGAGGTGCTGTCAGCCTCGCGGTGCTGACGTTCGTGTCACCCAGTTCGCCTTCCCAGGTGGCATCATCTTCCACCCCCCCCTAAAGGGAGAGACGCTGCATGCCGCGAGCCTCGTGATAGCCGCCCGGCTGCGTCAGGGCAGAGCCGCGCGATTTTGTGGCCAACGACCAGCCCGGTTCTTGAAGCGAAGCTAAGCAAAGCCAGGGCCAAGAGTCCGGGCCTCGGAGGTCCAGTCGCAGCTGCTGACGCCTTTAGCCGCGGCTTCGACCCTCAGCTGGACGACCCCGAGCAGCAGGCGAGCAGCACGCGAGACGCTGTGTGACTTCGAGTCTCTCCGAGCTCGGAGAAACCGTGAAAAAACTGACAGCTGGTCGGCTGAGCGCCTCAGCCCTCGAGAGTGGTTGCGCATGCTCCGCCCTCGGCCCTCGGACTGCGATCGCGATCTCTCGACCCGACCCTTCGAGAGGTATCGAACGCTGGGTCTCTCCCAGGATGCCACGAAGGCTCAGGCGCGTCCTCGGAGAAAGCCCGTCCGCGTCTGCCACGTCTTGGCCCGAAGGTCTCAAAAGCTGCGTCGCGACTACGCAAGAAATACTCTTCAGACGAGGTGGACAAGACAATAAGTTCGACACAATTGCGTTTCCTTTCGGGACTGCTGCATGCTGTATGAAAGGCTGCCCTGCAGCGAGTCGAAGCTGCGAACCTCTGGATAATGACGAAGCTTTTGTCAGAGCACGGAGCCTGGATTTCCATAATGGAAGTCATGTGTGCAGTATCGTTGCCATTGTCTATGTCAGTCAGGAAGGAAGAGGCACTGCGTGCCAAGCAGGCAGCGAATCGTCTCCGGGAGCTCGGAGACTCTCCGCGAAGGCGTGGCCACAAAGGAACTTAGCTTGTCCACGAGTCTACGTGTAAGTGCCGTCCCGTGGCAGGCTCTTTCACAAGTACGTAGCTGGCTACGTGCCTCCTGGGGTACGGCAGATGATAGAGCCGCCGACTACAAAACATTTCCGATGGCCCTTTCCCCGGTTGCCAGTCATGAGCACGAAGAACATGACAGATCATGACACATGCGAAGTTGGTAAGCCATCGCCGGCAATTAGCCCTTGGCTCGGGAAGTGTTCACTGCTCCAGCCGTCGTCCCAACGTGAATGGTGGCCGTTCCCGGGATATGCTGAATAATCTGGAAAACCGATTCATTTTTCCTGCCCCACGGCCTTCTTATGGTCCGCAGTCCTACAGAAGGAACCTTTGTTGGATACCATGGAATACCGTTATATCACCGAAACGCATTGGAGTGGAGGCAACTTGCTCGGGCATTCCCTGCTTGTGGTTTCCAGCCCCAAAAGCGGCAAGTGTTATCCTCTTCTTCCACGCAAATGCAGAGGATCTGGGCATGTCTTTTGCGGTTCTCCGGCATATCCGCGACCAGTTCAAGGTCAACGTGCTGGCTGTAGAATACCCTGGCTATGGTCTTCTCCACCATGTGGAGCCCACCGAAGATGCGGTGTATGAAGTGGCACTCACTGCATTCCGCTTCCTGGTGGACGATATCGGTGTCAGGTATTCCCAGATCATCCTATTCGGTCGCTCGCTGGGAAGTGGACCAGCCGTTTTCCTAGCAGCACAGTATCCCGTGGGAGGTCTGATTTTAGTGTCTGCATTCTCATCCATAAAAGCAGCTGTGCAGAGCATTGTTGGTCGAGTAGCGGCGTGGACGTTCACAGAAAGGTTCGCGAATAGCAGGATCATCGCCAACGTATCCTGCTCTACTCTGTTCATACATGGTGAGGCAGATGGGCTTATCCCAGCTGAACATTCGTTGAGACTCTTCAAGCGGTGTCGTGCGCGCAAGTTGCTCGTGACTCCGCAGAAGATGGAGCACAACTCTAATCTGTTTGGGGATGCTTCCTTCTTAGCTGTGCCGGCGATTCATTTTTTTGGTTTCCCTGGCTACTACACATCCTCTCCACCTCGGCTCCCAACAAGCCTCTTCGAAGATCCTTCCAAGAGAGCAAGATTGCAAAAGGAGAAGGAGGACAAAGTCACCTCCCTCACGAAACCTACCTGCCTGTGTGATTGCCTTGCCAAGGGCGAGGTGCAACACCTAGATGTGACATACTGCCGACAGGAGAATTCTGTTGAAGACATAACAATACATTTCCAGGAGCAAAAGCAGGAGCAAACAGAGCCAAGCGAGGATCCCGTCCATGAGCAAGGCAGTGAGCCAGGGGCAAGCCCGCTGCAAGATATGGACACTTCAGACTCCGCTGCAGATGTTATACGGACATGAACAATGAACGTGCCCTTTCTTGGCAGTTGATCGGAGCTTTTCGAAGAACCAAGAGCGCCACCAGTGCCAACTCGAAGAACCACTGCAGCGCAAATGGCCGCCAGCAGTTATCTTGCAACCTTTCAAGAGGCATGTCTTGCCGGTATTCACGGAGGTTGACCAGTGAGTTGCGGTTGTCCTTGGTCGCCTGGTGCGGCTAGGGCAGGATCATGTAGCCACCAGTCCTACCTGTACGGCTGTTGAGTGGTCGGAGACCGGCGGTAGCACCGGCACTCATCGCCCGCCCTTGGGTGATTGAGCTATGCCCTATGCCTCAACAAAAGGAGCGTCTGTCTTACTGGAGGTCTCATCATGACTAGCCCAGAAGTATCATGTGGCAGTCGTTGCATCGTGTGGCAAGTGCTCGCTGACGAAAGTTGTCTGCCCAGGGCCAGTGGACTTCTCGGTGCATTCGCACTTTTTGGTCTGTGCGTCCGGTCCTTGATCCTTGTCGGACGATCTCAGCGGGTGATGATGTGATTTGGAACGAGGTTCCCACCCAGGCGACAAACTTCATTGGCCTGGCAGCAGCATCGGCCATGGGCCTCGTCTACCAGGTGCTGGCAAAGTGAAGTTTGCACCGTGACTGTCACTGTTTTGAAATCCATCTCTGATTGGCAGCGCAACCGTCCGGAACCGGTGAAAGATGACATGGGCAACGTGGGTGCGGTGCCGGCCTCATGCTAGACTGTTACTGTGCTGGAACTTAAGCGTTGTGAGGTGCAGAAGCCGAACGTCAAAGAGATGGGCGCATCGATTGCACTCGTCGTCATCGGGCCGCAGTCTCAGCCCACCGGCCAGCAACTGGCTCGAAGAAGTATCAAGGCCTCAGCAAAGACAGTCTTTCAAGACCCGCGCAAGCTTACAGGGCGATTCTGAGTGCCGGCCTATCCTTGATCATCTCCTTCAGTCTCCAGACGGACTTCCAGGTTTGGCGGCTGCCAAAGTTGCGCGTTCTCCGCGAAAGTCCGCGCATCCGTGCCGTGGGAGGCGTACTTCTGCACGACCACTTGCTTCGTGCTCTGGCTTGTCGCTCTCTTTTTCAAGGCGGGTTACATGCACTCGCTCAGGGAGAATCGGCCGGCAGCTGCATACCCCTACCCCTGCATGAGGTCTACCAGTGCTTCGATGCGTGAGCATCTCACCCACTTCCAGTGACAAGTTGGCAAAGCATCCACTCGGAAAATGTAGGGGATCTGCAGTGTGTGAGTTCTGCCTTGCGTATCCCCCGTAGGGATCTTGCCATTCTTGAAACCGTCGCACTCTGATTTCCTTTTTTGTGCTGTTTGCTTTTTCAGTGAGGGGCTCAGGAAATCTTCGCGGTGTATGAGGACTGGACAAGTCCATCTTAATGGGGGTGCGGTCAGGCGTTACGGAGAATAGAAGCCGGAGCGATGTCGCAAGATTGCTGTCAAGCAGGGTTGAAATATCAATCTAAAGGCTTTTGGCAGAGTTTACGTTTTTTTTGAAGCTTCAGGGTCCAGGGGTTTACGTCGACAGGCCTACCTGCATAGGGCTTCATCCCCACCGAATTCACGTAGATAGACGGATACCAGTAGGACAGACATGCTCGGACTTCTCAATCTTCAACCCTCGGTGGATCAGTTTGGCATGGAGTGGGGTAAGAAGTTCAAACACAACCGCCCGCTGCGGCTTCCTTTGCTCTGTGCCGCCTGTCCACAACGCTCTGTGATGCTTCGCGACAGCTCAACCCGTCCTTGTCCATAGCCTCCCCAGCCCCATCCATACCGGCAGCGTGCAAACGAGCGCTCCCATGCACGGCACCTCACTGCCTTCCCCATAGCCCTGTCTCCGGCACGACCACGACGCTTCGCTCAGCGACGACCTTCGTCAGACTCCTTGCGCGCCTGTGTGCGCACGCTGCCCTCGCCTGCGGGTATCTTCCTTCGTCTCTCGATGGTCTGATTTGATATGCTGGGCGGCCGCTTGCGCATTTGCTGCCATCCTCCTCTCCTAGCCGGCAGGCGCCGGTGTCCGGTCATGGTGCTGTCGTCGTTGACCATGCGCAGCGCGACGGCAATGCAGCTGCGCAAGAGCCGGCACCAACTGAGGCTGATCTGAGGACGACCTGATTGCAGGACCCCCCAAACAGCCAACCACGCTCATCCGAGCACCCGGCGGGAGCGTGCCTGTACCGCCTCTGAGGCAGTCATGCGCCTCAGTTTGGCATCACTTGATGTCGTCAACCTGCAAAGCGCGTGCCGGCAACGCGCGCTTATGCTGCAGTCGGCCCCTGCGCATGTCCGGGGTGCCTTGCGCTCTGCATTGCCTGTATGGGCCTCCAGCTCGCAGTGCACCCCCGCGGGCCCGACGACGAGCTGCGCGGCTGGAAGCTGTTTGCACTTGCCCCCCCGCATGCTGCTTTATCGGTCGACCGCTGAGTCACGCCTTCCATGCACCAGCCGAGCTCCACCGCCACGACGAGCTGTTTTGGGGCGGTCCCTGGGCCGATCTCCTCCAGCATGCCGCGGCCGCAGACGACACGTCCCCCGTAGCCCTCGTGCCCTTCGCGACCCGGCGAGGCGGCCTCTCGTGCGGGTACGCGCCACATGACCGAAGCTCAGTTCCAGTTCCTTCCTGACCAACCATGCCCCCTCCCCCAGTATCGGCACTGAGGCAGTGAGCCGACTCTCTGTGGTGCCACCGAGGCGAGCCCGCGAACCATTGTCCTGTCCGTCGATGCCGTTGGTGCCTTCGACCACCTGGCCCGTGCTCCATGCTCGATGCTTTGCTTGATGTTGCTTGGTAACCCAGCGCTGTCTGGTGACAATGGTCGCGCCCACGAAATGCTGCAAGGCGAGGGCGGAAGAGGGGACCTGCTAATGCCCGCTCCTTACGCATTAGCCCAACAGGAGGCCTTGCACGACCTGCAAGGCCAACTCCTGGCATCTGGCATGTTTACATCGTCGCCCTGCCTGAGCGCGTTCGCGCCCTCTACGACCTGCTCGCCGCAGCGCTGTGGAGCCGGACGCGGATTCGCTATCATGAGGGCAAGTCCCGAATTTGGAGTGCCACCGGCAAAAAAGCGACAAACAACCATGCGCCTGCATGAGGGCCGGATTGCGACCGGAGCACGGCCCGCGCACGAGGCGGCAGGGTTGGCAACAGAGCGCCCCGCGAGCAGGTCTGGACATTCGGGACCGGGGATCCAGACGAAAACCCGAGGAGGAGAGCGCGCGCCTCCGCAGCTGCCTCGAAGCAGGAGACGCGGGCGTGTGGTTCCGCGAAAGATGCGAGAGCCTCAGTGCATGCTGCCGCGAAACCGGGTCGACGCCTGCGCAACACCGGGAGGGCGCCCGCCCAAGCGGCCCAGTACGCTGCCGGGGCTGACCGCTCAGCAAAAGTCAAGCCCAATCCGCCCAATGCGGCAGGCACCGAAGCCAAGCAAATCCAAGGCACGCGTGAGCTCGCTCGTGTGGTCGTCGCTCGTGTGGTCGTCAACGGGGCCTCCGCCGACGCCCCGTTGGGGATCGGGCCGGTGGTAGGGGGGTTCAGGAATTAGGGAAAGGATTTCCGAATGTTTTTTGTCTCCTGGTCTTTCCAATCGGGCATAGCCCTTGATAACCAAAACCCTTGCGCTTTTGAGATGTGTGACGAGGCCGGGGTCATTCACAATCTTAGACACGTGAGCTGCCTGTGAGAAGTGTTTTGCTGTGTTGTATCTGGGAAATGGAATGGTGCATGAGAGGAGCCCACAAAAGAGTGGCCGTGGCAGGCTCACACGCGTTCGATCGATAATATTTGTTATTGTATTTTCTCCTTCCTTTGTGGGTTGCTTCTTGTGCAAACATGTGCAAACAATGACAGTGCCTCCCTGCATGACCGACACTCATCTTCTGTGTAGGATTTGTGATGGGCATACGGCGGTGGGAAGGGCGTTGCCCCTAGCTCGAGCAGCGCAGCCAAGCAACAGGCAACGGCGGTGTCATGCGCAGCGGCGTAACCGGCTGTGAGTCTGGAGGGGGAGCCGAGCGGCATGCAGATCGTCAGACAGGTGAATGCGTCCAGACGGTCCAGAAGCCTGTCTTGGTCAGTGCATTTGTTCTGCAGCTGTTGCGCAGTGAAGTCATCGTGCCCAAGCGGAGAACACTCGGAGAACCGAGCACGTTGAGCCCCTGGCAGTCAGGAGGACGGCACCAGTTGCCGCCCCGCACAGGCTCACTGCCACCGGCTGCAAGGTCGCTGCGCGCCAGTTGTTGCGGCCCCACCCTAGGCTGCGGGCAAGTCGTCGATGCCTACGGTGACCATGCGGCCAAATCGTCCCACAGCAGTGGTTGACGCACACCACGGCCCCGGGAGCGCTACCACGCGCCCTAGCCGCACGGCGGGGAGGATTTGCTCTCCGGCACGTTTGCATTGGCCAGGCAAGGACCAGGACCCCGATTCTCCGTCCGTGGCGGGGGCGTCCAGGTTGAGCTCCTGCAAAGCGACACTCGTGGCGACCTGCGTCCCAGCTTCCCGGCAGATGCGCGCTACGGCGCGTTCCAACGGCCCGCTCTATGTGCAAGGTCTCCGACGGACTTGTGTGGGGAAGGAGCGGTGGTCACCCAGGCTGTCGAGGTGTCCTCCGCAGTGACGTCGCTTGGGCGTTAGCGGGAGTGCGAGCCGGAGCCGGCGAAGCAACAGAACTCTGAACACCTCGCGGGGCACGACAAAGTCCGGTCTGGATTTTGATCCCCGGGCCACTGCTTTCGCTCTTAATTGTGCCCATCCCTCCAAGTTGCCAACCACACCCTCAACGTGTTGTGGTTGTTGACCAATGCAAAATCTCCAAAGTTCCAATCTAAAGAAGCCGGCACTTGGGATCTCTTAGAACGGAGCACGACCAAGAAATCATATGTCCATGAGAAGTGTTTGACAAGTTCGTATAGAAGCAGCTAGGCCATATTTGATGCACTTTGGACGACCATGTCCGAGCGGCGTCGGTCCCGTGCGGGCCTTGGTTGTGGGCGACGTCTTCAGGCGCCTTGTCGCCCGAGCGCTGGCGCAACACCTTGCCGCAGCCTTCCAGGAAGCATGCCTCCCGTACCAGTTTGGGCTCAGCACACGTCGGGCACGGAAGGTCTTTATAAGCTCCTCCACTGAGCCACGGCGCCGGGCGCCCAGTACTGTCTGTCGACGCTGTGGGTGCCTACAACCATGCGTCGCGCAAGGCCATGCTGGAAGGTCTCCGGTCCCGCCCGGCCTTCGCCCCGCTCCTGCTTGTTGCCTGCCACTCTTATGGCAGCGCCAGCGTCAGCTTCTTCCTCGATGACACGGGATAATGCAAGGCGACCGAGGCGAGCAAAGGGATCTGCTGATGCCGGCACTTTTTGGGTGTGTGCATGCCTTACGACATTACTGTCGCAGGGCTCCGTGAAGCCGCAACCATGGCCTCAGCACTCACAGCGCCTCGCACAGCTTCCTTTGCGGTTTGGTGGCTTCGGGGGTGCGCTCCGCAGTCGACGCCGCCCCTGCCGCTTATTGGGTATCCTGGGCAGACTGCTTGCCGACCATCAAAAAAACCGCAGCCCCTCCCACCCCCAGTCTGCTGGGCCTGTAGTGCGCAGCTTGCACGGGGACCTGGACTCTTCCGTTTTGCGGACATCAAAAAAGCGAGTGGAAAAAACAAATTAGAAAAAAAACCATTCAAGAACACGCGCCGCTGGCAGCCGTTCGATTGGTCCGGGCATTGCAGTCCTCGGCCGAGACCGCGCAGCCCCTTCGCAGCTTCTCGTCATGCGGCCGCCTGTCTCCGAAAGCAAGGCCATGATGCTCCCGCGTGGGACGCGCTGCTGCGGGCGCGGCCCGAGCAGGAAGAACGCGAGTTTGGGGAATGGCTGCTTGAGAAATGTCCAGGGAAAAAAAATTCGCGCTCGACACGACGCTGGCCAGCCCCGTCCAGCGAGATGGACTCCCGCATGTGGGGGCTCATGCGCGATCGGCACTGGCTCTCCGAGAAGCCAAAACGCGCAGGCGGGCAGGCGCAATGCCGTTTGCTGGTGTTCGGCGTGGAGATTTTGGCGGGCGTTTCCATAGTCAAACGGTGGCATTGCTCCGCCAACTTGCTTGCGCTCGCCCCCAGGATCGGGTCTCGTGGGCGTGGGCCGCAGCAATCGCCGCGCTCACTCGCCGC